TTAAAATTTCTAATCGCGGGCTCACAAACAACAGTGCACTTAGAAGGACAGTTCCTTGGCTAAATAACAGCCGTCATGATCGAACCGAATGAGGGGATGATGTCATTTGGTGTCGTCTCACTCTTTACGTCCATACCACAGGCTCTTGCGGTCGAGACGCTGAGTGTCCTGCTAAGTCGAAATTCCAGTGCCGACGATGGCCAGTCCACAGCTCAAAATCTCATAGAACTCATGGGACACTGCCTAAAGACAATTTTTACCTTCGAAGGAATTACATATGGGCAAACTAAGGGCACTCCGAGGGGTTCGCCAATCTCCGGGTTCATTGCCGAGGCGGCTCTGTAAAACTCGAGAGCTGACTTTTCGAGAAGTACATACCCAAGTTTTGGGCACGCTAAGTTGAAGATGTCCTGGTAATCATCGATCAGGATAAGTTTAACTTCGATTAGGAGCTTCTGGACCCAATCATTCCCGATCTACAGTTCACGATGAAAGACGAAAGGAGGACAAGCTTCCATTCCTCGATGTTCTCGTCTGTCGCCAACCAGAACGCAAACTGGCGAAGTCACTCTAAAAAGAACCAACGAACATGCTTCAAATGCTCAGTCACAGTTGCAACCACCATCTGAAACCCAAACGAGCCGTGTACACGGCATATCAATGGGTAGAAACTCAAGGCAGCATGCCAGCCGCCAATCTGGACGAGACTAAGCTCCCCAAGAACTCTTCAGAGCCAACGGATAGGCATTCATTGAACGGAGCCGAAGGCGACCAAGGAAACGGAGTTAAGAGTATAGACAGCCCAAATCGTGACGGAGCATTCCGTACATGGAAGGGGTCTCCGATGCCGTGGCTAGGTCCCTCGCGCCACTCGGAATAGGTATTGCCCACAAACTTGACTTACCAATCCACCGGCAAGTGATATGGCCAAAAGACCCAATCCCTAGGTAGGAGATGTCGGCTGTTGTCTGCCGACGCCAAAGCAGCTGCGGAAGTTGCAACTACGTTGGGGGACACTGGCGGACGGCTGCAAACGCGAATGCAAGAGCATAAGTTGGCCGTGCGAAGGTTGGACCCAAAGTCGGAGGTAGCAACCCATGCCACACAAATGGGACACATATTCAACTTTGAAGCCGTTGAGATTGTAGGCCGGGGCGATGATAATACATAGAGGCAGTTGCAGGAAGTCTGGATGCCCATCGACTACTCTGTCAACCACCACATCAATTATTCTCCCCCTATCTGACTTTACGAACCTTCTTAATTGAGGATAGTCACGGAGTGGGACAGTCGGGTCCGTCAGTCACCTCCGCGGCCGTCGGGGGCGATTTAGGTCACGGTGACATGCGGGTTGGATGCAGCCGCACAGGCGGCATTGGCGGGTCACGCATTGGACAGAGTGCGCCATATAAGGGAGCTGTGCGCGTGACTTCCCAGTCTCTGAAGATGGGTAGACGAACCAACTACTCCAAACTTCAGACCTATAATAAACCCTTCTTCTTTTTTTCGATATGCCATCAGTAAATCGCAATTTTCCTACTATTTATATTCAAAATCTGCAAAAACACCTGTAAATTACGTGAGCCTGATAGTCATCTGGTAATTTCTAGGTGGATTACTTAGAAAATCCTGCTTGTGCAATCAACTTACTGTATTAGATTCGATAGATTCCAGCCATTGCAGTAGGCTAAAGGGGTAAGATTACACAAATTTAATTGAACTCACGTGTTTCGGTGGGGCGTCCTAGCTCCGGCGGCTAGAGTGTTGGCTGTTCCAAACCTTCTTGTTGTTGTTATGGTTTCGTGTCCTTTCGAGGTGCCGAGTTTCGCATAGTGGCGTAAAAGGTAATTATTGAAGATCTATATGAATATTTTGCATGTTTTAAATAATTTTGGATCTTCCTATTTAAAGAAGAAGATTGTGACATCCTGTGCATTAAATTAGGCGGGTATTCACTTGTGGTTCAGTTGTTAAATATCTCAATTATATAAGCCTGTTTTCTTTGACGTCCGCCCAGAATACTACTGTCTTTCGCCTCTTAATGAAAATTGCGGAGTTTAAACGTGGTATAAAGACGATCAGGTAGCCAATCTACAGGGTCATTTTAAAATGTACGTTTACTACCGCTGTTATATCGTGCAAACCCATGAATTGACTAAAATATTGTGCAAGATTTCTAGTAAACTGCGCTGAAATTACTTTGGTCATTTGCTTAATATATACAGTTTGACGTGATTTCGTTCATTTACAATATCGGGGCTTTTTAATGAGGATAAAAATGGTTTGTGATTCATTTCGGACGGCAGGAATACCAAAATTAATATGGTCCTGATGACAAGCATTATGGCTGCGTGGTTTGAACGGTGCGGCAGACTTGTTACTTTTTAGTTGCATGCCTTCTTAAGCTTACAAAAAGGCAAAACAAGTGTTCTTTTACTATCGTTGTTCGCGATAACTAGTAGTGGACGGTATGTAAGCTCCTTTTGATTTTTGAAATCGATAACTATTAACTGTTAACTCAGGAGTCAATTGCGTCTCTTCTGCCTTGCAATTAACCCTTGCCTATCCTTTTATCTGTTCCTGTATTTACCTGATCAAACACAATTTTTTTG